TCCTTGAGGAAAATCAAGGAAAGTTCTGTGTAGTGTAGCAACCATTGACAGTGCTGCTACTTCTTTTTTTTCTTTTTTCTTTTTTTTTTTTTTAAATAGTGCTCTGCATTCTTTTTTTAAGGCATCTTCTCTTTGTAGTTCTCGGACTTGGTGTTTGCTAGGAGGCATTTGTGCTGTTGATCAAAATGATTCTTGTAATCCTCTACAAGAATAGATGATGGCTGTTCCTTTTCTGCATGATGCTAATTCTAGGAAAAGGTTCAAAATGCTTGTTTTGCAACTTTAGAATATTGACCTTTATCTAACTTTTATTTCTAGTCAGTAATCATGGATATGACAACATCTTACCAGAAATGCGTCCAATTTTTTTGGCAGTTGGGCCTGTTTTCAGACAGAGTGTCACCAAAGAAGTCATGAATTACAGACCTGTACTCCTTATTGTGCCATCTACTTGGTATTAAGGCACTGCCAAACAATGGTTCATTCAACTCTGTGAAAGATACACTTGCTGAAGAAGTTCCCGTAGCCTTTGGAGCAGACACCTGTGCTACTGTTGTAGGAGTCTTTCTAAGCGACTCTCTTGTTATGGTTTTTATTGCAGTTTTTGTTAAGCATTTTATTCTCCCCCAAGCAAATACTCTGCAAATGCAACATACTGAAGCTGCCCAGCCACTATTACAAGATTACTAACACTTGGTACTATTTTCTGATTGATGCTTAAAAGAAGCTTATACAAAAAAATAATAGAAGTGGATCAGCGTAAGTACATGGAGTAAAAGTGAACGAATGCTGATACATAGTTACACTGGAGTACATACATATCAGGTATGCAGAGAAAGAACATGTTCTGGTTCTACAACCACTTAATCTTTCAGGGATTGAAAATACCCTAGGTAAGCCTGGATGCAATGTTGTGCATCCTGCTCTGGGTGATCCTGCTTTAGCAGGGGGGTTGGACTAGATGATCTCCAGAGGTCCCTTCCAACCCCTACCAATCTGTGAATCTGTGTATGTAGACATGTAGTGACAACAGATGTAGAATACCACATTCTGAGCTACTTTTAGGGAAATAACATCAACTGAGGTGCACTTCACAGACTATTACATGGTGATTTAATTCTTCCCCCTGGTCTTTTTTTTTTTAGAGGGTTTTTTAAGTCTCTTAGGTTCTGACAAGTCACTGAATGAGACTAGACTTCTTTGTTTTGTTTTTTTTTTTCCCGTGCCCAAGGAAGCTTTTGCATGGATCAGTATTATAGATAGCAGTGGATTAAATCCTGCAGGAAAAAACATTATTATTAAGGTAGGTCATGCAGTGCTAAGTGTCTAAGTTTAGGCATATTTCTTTAAACTACTGTATAAATTGTAGCCCCAAAATATTAATCGAGGCTAATTGCCTTTAGCAACCAGCATTAAACTAATTGATTTTTTAGTATGTTTTTTTTCGGTAAATGTAAGTCTTTACAATTTTAGGTATGATTTTAGGCAAATATAGGTCTTTACTTTTCCTATAGTTTCCTGTATGCTGGACTAAATTTTGTAGGAATTGCATGCGGCTGGCAGTTTAAAGACACATACAAGCACAACACTCCAAATGGAGTGTTCTCTATTTCTGTTATAAGAAGGTTCTTTCTGAATAAGGCAGACAAATCAGTTAAGAAACATACATGTTACAAGCTGGTTTCAGAGTGCTGCTGTCAAGCTCGTCACTGGGTGTAACATCTGATCCATTACTGGAGACTCTTCTGTAGTGTGGGTTTGAGTTTGGCTTGCTGTCTTGTGTTTTATCTGATATATCTGGGTGGACCTTAGAATTTGATGAGTAGGATTAGATACACAATTTAGGGAACAGCCACATGAATCTAAAGCTATATATACTCTTAAATCTGTAAAAGCACACTGTAATATAAAAAAAGGTGTAAGACTGGAGTTTGTTCTTCCAGAGGAATGTCTCTGTCAGGGAAAATTATTAATTCTGAGTTAACAAAGCTATATATTACGCAGATTCTTTTGTGTGGGGCAGTAAATCTTCTTGTATGGTAGATTACCATCTACCCCATGTTGTAGTTGTGGGGTTTTTTTTGATGAGCTCACTTAAATGGTAGGTGAGAAACTGCTGACTAAGGTTTGTATGAAAAACGCAGTATGAAGTGAGAAAAGTTGTCTAGTTGTCAGACTTGCTTAAAAGCAGATTTTTCTTACTCCCCTGCCTGTGTGAGTTAGTATTTCTCTGTACTTTGCTTCTGAGTACAATGCCTGAAGGAAAAAGAAACTCTTTCAAAATTCGCACAAATGCTCAGTCTGGTATTTCTGTAAGTGCAATCTATTGCTTTATCCACAGCACCCAGCAGAGGGCAAAGATGGGAATATCTTGGCCTTGGATGTGCTCTGGCAAACTAACGGTGTGACTGACAGGCTACTGCTGCAGTTGGGAGGGTGCTAGCAGACCGAGCAAGCAGCTGCAGCAAACTAACTGAAGTACAAAACTTATTTTGCTAATCTTAATTCCAGACTTAATGAATGACATCTGGGCGAGTTCAGAAGTGAGCTTACTCCTTGCTGCCTCAGTGACAAGTCTACAGTGCCGTGTTACGAACTGTCTGGCACTCAGTGCGTCAGAAGTAATCTGTTGGGTTCCTCCGCAATGGCAGGGATGCTTCCTTAGCATTAAGCTGTCTTGCAAACAGATGTGGACAGTTTCCTGAGACTGCAGCTAAGGGCAGTGAATGCTTAAGAGGGAAGGCAATGAAATATTCTGATTTAAGGTATACCCTGAAAGTCTAGCTGTAATAGTAGCTTTAGGAAGGCAGGAAACCAGCAGATCTGTTGGAGGACAGCCCCTTAATTTGGGGGATATGTATGAACTGTTGCATAACTTAATCTGACTCATTGCTGCAATCCTGCTGTTACTGTTCTGTGAACTGCCTTGTTTTCCTACATTGCCATTTTCTTAAGGAAACACTGAAGGAAAATGCCTTTGTTAGGTGTGCTTGACACTGCAAAGCTGATTCTTAGTGGAGGTGACCATTAGGTATGTCTTAAGTTTAATTTGCTGATGCCAGCTAAAGCTGAATGCTGCAGGTGCTTTTCAAGATGAAAGATGAAAGCAGTAAAGATGTTCACAGTGGTTTCTAGAGAGGCTGGGGAAGTCTGAGTAGAAAACCTAAACCTCTAAATTACTAATCACTTCCCTAGCTACTTCCAAAAAGTGGATGGCAGATAGCAAATTGATGCATTGAGTCCACCTTTTTTTGCTTATTTGCAACTTAAAACCAAATTGTAGCACAAACTTACTGTGTGCTTAAAGATCTACGGGTTTGCTTAAGGGAATGGCAGTGAAAATTGGACATGCTATAATCCTCACCTGTAGCTACTTCAGTTACACACTTTCTCACTTTGGAACATGCTGCTTTAATAGAAATTCTTGTTATTGCAGTAATTTCATAGCAATGTTTGTGGCAGATGTAAAAATAACAGGATTGTAATCTCAGAAGTGTCCATTAAACTCCCACTTGTTTAATTGTGACAGGTGTAGTTCTGTCATCAGCCAAAGTGACCCTTGGTTTTAAGGAGGGGGCAAAGTTGCTCAGTGTTGTTCAGTCACCTGGGACTTAGGCTTACCTGCCCAAACACGCAGCAGGGGAGGAGCAATAGGTTTCCCGTAACAAAGGGGTTTGGAACAATAATAGTCAAAACAGATTGGGAACATGAACGTGAGAATTCTTCTCGCTGTCATTGCTCTGTATCGCACTGTAAGGCTCTTTGAGGGGAGTAAAAGGAAACTGTAGAAAACTGAAGGGAATCTTGCAGCATTCAGGTATTTCAGTTTAGGTTTCAACAGGTTTCCTTTATTGCTTAGGTGTATTTGCAGGTACCTCTCGGGTAGTTACCTTGTTAGGGTATTTGCCTAGCAAGCGTTAAATACCGTTTTAAGTTGTTGGGTGTATGCTTGATGAAACTGAAAGCACATATGATGCCGCTGGAGAAAAATACCCGCTTTTTCTCTGATTCAATATGAGATTTTTTTGTCAGTCTACCTTTTTGGTTGGGGAGGATGTGGGATTTGGTTTCTGTGTATATGATACTTCTTATGATGTACGAACAAGTTTATTGGGAAATAGATTTGAGCATACTGTATGTTACTTGTAACTTAAGCTTGGAAACTGAGAAGCGTGCATGATTTTGTCTGTCATTATTGACCTGTGAAGCATACTTTGAGATGTCAAATGTTTTCTTTGCTTCTTCCTGTTTGGAAATGTCGATGTTGAAATACATCTTTTCTAGAGTGCTTTCAGGTGTTGAGTGCTTGCTTCATTTAAAACCACTTCTGGAAAAAAACCTTGAATTGTGGGGACCGGCTGGGGGAGAATGGCTGTAACTCATATGCATCCCGAGTATTTCTTGTACTCTGCATAGTGTACGCCTTCATTAAAAATAACTGAAAAAGTGATAGAAATTAAGAATTTTAGGTCAAAGTTCTTTAATAAAAGACCTCCCATTTCCCACCTTGCTACTGTATATGGAAATAACAGCTATCTGTTATCAACAATGGTAATACACTTTCTTTTGTCAAAAAAATCTTCCAAACTTTCTTGGTAAAGAGCTGCAGTTTACAGCTGTTTACAGCTGCAGTTAATGTTGTTTTTACAATAAATGTGGTCTCAAAAAAGCCACAACAAAACCCAAGCACAAAAATGCCTATTATAAGGTGCAGGGTTGTGCAGCATGACTTTCCAGAAGTGTGGAACAACACAATTGTGAGCTGTGTGTGGGAAGAATGACAAACGTGCAGCTGTTGAGTCCTGCTGATTGGTAAAACACAATAGAGCAGGCTTCCTTCTGAATTTTCCCTGCTTAAATAATGGCCGTGGATGTAGTCTTTACTGTCTATGCTGCTATACATAGCTTTCAAGAAATGTCATGTTTGTACTACAGTAATGTTAACAAGCATTTATTAGATGTTAGACAACAAAAATTGTTGCAAGCACTTGAAAAGGCTAAAAGTTCAATAGCAGTATCTGCAGCATTGCAAATAGACGGCCTTTCCTTAAGGAAATACTTACCTCAATCTTACTAAGTTAACAAATCTCTAAAGGGGTTTTTGTGATAAAAGGTAGTACCATGCATATTAAAGCAAACATCTGCCCCTGTGGTCTGATCCTTGGAGGTACATGATCTTGTTGGTTTATTTTCATAGGCAGTACATTCTTTTCAATTTATAGCAAGTGTTTTGCTATACCAATAGTTAGTTGACTGATAGTTAGTTGAAATCAGCTCAATTCTGGAAGTGTTTCCTTGGTGCTGATGGACAAAAAGCATGTAAAGCCAGAGGGGTGGATGTTTTAAGGCTTCTGTACCCAGTGTTGAGAGTTCCTTTATGGAGGCAGTCAACATAATGAAACAGCAGGTTTTGTAGCACTGCTTCCCCTACTCCCTTCTAAACTTCAGTGCTAGTTTAGTTGTTAAGAACTTCCCCTAAATTAATATGCCCTGTCTGAACCTTGCAGAGTTGCGTATATTTAGCAAGTCATTAAATGTTGCCACAAACTATTGTAGGATGTCTCCTTTATCACAGCTTTGAGGAAGGGGGAAGCCACAGCTTCTCATGTTTTTGTTGGAGTTAGCTAGCTATTCAAAAGGAGATCAGCTGCTGACTTTCACAAGCAGTAATTCATACAAACTGTAATTAG